GGAAGACAACCTTCCACACTTCCCTGCACCTAGCCAACGCCAAAAAATAAATCACAAAAGGCAAAGATCACTTGTGGAACACAAAGGGTTTTCCCTAACGCTTTTCAAAAAGAAATGCCTTCCAACGGAGAACCACGAAGCCTGGGGCAGACTTTTACGTCAGTCTCCATGATAACTGAGGCGGCCCCAAGCCTAAAGCTTCAGTGAGCTGAGGGTAAGGATGGAAAGACTGACCACCCTCCTTCCCAGAAAGAGACCCAGGCAGAGTGACCGTCAGCGCTGGGAGAAGGAACAAGCGGCGGAATTCTAGACTCCACTTCCTAGAACCAACCGACATTCAGCAGCCTGAACAGAGAACAGGTCCTCTGGGGGACAAAACTCCAAAACCACCATGAGAAATGAGTAAAGAATCTACCCCAAAGGCTGGCTGGCCAACAGAACTTTCGACCACAAGCTCCTTAGCGAGTCATCCCAAACCAACTCAGTTAACTACCTTGTGTGACCAATGCAACCAAACGTCAGGGTGCTTTCATCCCAACGACACGCTCACTCAGCGGGAGGGCAGCGGGTTTCCATCTCAGCTGCCATGCTTCACCCAGCCCTTGGAAGCAATGTCATTCCTATTGTGATAAGAATTCTGCTCATAAATGCTATCAGTATAGCTAATGCCAAATTCCTCAAGGAGTAAAGAATGAGCTGATGAAGCAACTCATTAATATTAAATTATCCCTTTTGGTCTACTAAGGTGTTCAAAGCCCTATTCACTGTAACAGTGGAATTAGGATTTTTGGAAAAGAGAATTTTCTAGGCGATTCTTCCGAGAGAAGCAGCTGAACGTATCTCAGAGTTGGGGAGCCTGAGGTTTAAAGTGTAATCTTTTTTTTTTCCCCCAAATAACCATCTGGGTGTCCTTGAGTAAGTCATTTGCACATCCAGAGTCTGTTTTCTTGACTTGTAAAATGAGGCATTTGAGCCAAAGTCTCCACCAGCTGTAAAATTCTATGATTCTCTAAGTAATAGTTACTGCACCGCTGGTAAGCCTGCTTCGTGATAATCAGAATGATCCAATTAACACTCTGCAATGTAGAATATTCTATTTGTAGTCTCAAAAAATGACCTATTTTAGAGTAGAGGGAGTTCAGATCATGAAATACGGTCACTTTGTTTCTCAAAACAAATGAGTAATCTGAGGTGCAAAGATGTCGAATAACTTTGTTGAATTACAAGCCAATCAGTGGCAGAAACAAGACAAGGCTGCCTGACCAGTCCCGTCTCCACTGAACCGCACTGTTACCCAGTTGGCTCCAGAAGGACTTTCTTCACTAGAAGCTGCTTCGGCCCCTGTCTAATCCACAGTGTGCCTTTTATGTGACTCATTAAACACAGCCTACAGCACAGCTGTGCTTTACTGGCCTCAGGGTTATTAGTTTTCCAGACACCTAATCCAGGAGACATTTGAAGAGTGACCTTAAGGTCTTCATGAAAATATACCAGGATAAAATACTTTAAAAAGTCCCAGAGGGATTGTCAAAGAGAGCAAATATCTACGCACCATCTGCTCTCTTCCCAATTTATCAAATGAGTATTTTGCAGGTAGAAAGTTCCCAGTGAAGCCGGTCCTCACCCAACAACTTCAGGAACCCGACAGCAGCCTCCACGGCATAAGCACTTTGTCACTCTGGCTTCAGGCCGCCGTGACGGCAGGACAGTGCCTCTGGCACAGATCTGCAAACTCCACAGTTAGGTCCTTACACCACGAAACAGCACAGACACTGCCCTGGGCGGCACCTCACACAGACCTGCACCTGTTTCTGACCACCGATGCCAGCAGCTGTTGTAATGAAACAAAGAATGCTCTGGGAACTTCCCCACCATGCCCCAGTATGGACTCTTTGGAGGGGCTGCCCTGAAAACCTTTTCAGGACAGCGTGGGAATTCTGTGCAGGAGCGATGCTGCATGCCATCCAATGTGCACTCAACAGTTTGTTCCAATATGAGACCATCTGTCCCGAAGAGCACAACTGACAGATGTTAACCCTAAATTATGTTGGATCCAACAACTTGGTTGAACCTCTCAGACATAATAACGTGTGAAAGGAGCCAAACACAAACCAGTATGTGCTGCAGGACTGCATTTACACAGTTTATATATTTGTTAGTTTTATAAAACTACAAGTAAAAAACAAAATGAATCTATGGCAGTGATAGAAGTCAGAGCGGCGGTTACTCCATAGGTGAGGGATATGGGCTGAAAGGGGCATAAGAAGAATCCCAGGGTGTTGGAAATGTTTAATTGCTTGATCCCAGGTGGTGGTTCCTGAGGTGTAAAGATATTTAAAAACTCATCAAGTGCTACACTTCAGGTATGTTATATGTTATGCATGTTATACTTTGATAAAAAATAAATTTAACATATTGTGTGAGGTCCCCTGATATAAACGGAGAATCTGCTTCTTTTCTTTAGCATAAGAATATCTGAGATTCTCTGAAATGGGTCTTTGAAAATAATATTACTAGTAATACCAATAGCTAGATGGAGTGCTTACCTGTACCAGGATCTGTGCAGGGAGACTTAAATGAATTATGTGAATTACCTCCTCTTAATCCTTAAGACACTTCCGCAAGGTAGATACCATCCATACCCCCATTTCACAGAAGGCAAACTGAGGCACAGAGAAGTAACTTGTCCAAAGTCATACAGCAAGTACAGTGTCGGAATTAGCATTCAAATCCAAAGCAGGCTGACTCCAGAGTCTATGTTCTTAACTGGTCTCCACATTTTGTGGTATGGTGCAGGACAGAGGTTGTTTCCAAATTGAGTAATACTAGCTCTCACTTTTCCCCAGTGCCTGAGAAGCTCCCTACAGTGCAGTCTGCACACTCAGCACTAAGAGGAAAGAGAATCAAGGTTTGGGGTGAGGGGCTAGCAGTCTCCCGATGATTACACTCTTGAGGCACATTCCACAGATACACCTAGTTTGGTACAAAGGCCTATTTTCTTTGCCTTTAGTAGCAGAGGGTAGGTGCTATTATTGGCTTGTTACAGTTTGACCTTATTCCTTTCCCTTAAAAGAAACACACAATGGGGACAATGCAGAATGTTTTCATATGCTGCTCACTGGGGCTCTCTGGAACACTATGTCCTAGGACAAAATTTCCACAGTGTGCCACACACTTGTAAGATCTGCTTTACGCCTTTTGGAAAGACTACAGGGCTTACTTTCCTCTTTCACTAGCTTTTATATTAGTATTATATTCAATATAATTTATCTGTAGAACCTGGAGAAGGCATTAACCACTCTTTAATTAAAAAACACATAGCTCGTGATTTTCCAGACATCCTCTGTTATCCTTTACTGCCTTCTCGATTGGTTTCTCTGAAGCTGTCATATGAAAACCTGTTAGATCATTAATTCCTCGATTATAAGGAGCCATAAATTATAAACCCTTTAAAAATCCATCAGGGAGAAGGGCAGAAAGCAACTTGATGGTTTAGGCCCTCTCAGTAACCAGGCCCAAATGCCTGCCCAAAGCATTAACTGGGCTCTGTAATATGAATACAGAATTATCTCCCACCCTGCCCCCGGTGATTATTATTTATGCACTCACTATTCAAGTAACGTAAATGACTGAATGTTGACATTTTTGATTAAAAAACTGGTTTCATCCCACCCCTGCCCCTAACCACAGGGGCAGCATCCTGCTCACAGCTGGGCACACTGGTTCACAGCCCGCCCACCACCATCCCCACTCCGTCCCCGCCAACCCCAGCTCCAGAGCTTAACACACGAAGCACAGGCCACTCAGCAGAAGCCCTGATGATCAAAATCAAGGGTGCCTCCCCTGAGTTGGGCTACAGACATCTCTGCCCAGCCTCCAAGCTCCATCCTTCATCAGCCTGTTACGCTGCCTGAGAATTACTCCTCCTCCCAGCGTCACCTCCAGCACTCTGCCTAGCTCCAGCTAGCCCCAGAGCTGGGTCCCCCTCCCTGGTGTCGCATCTTAACATTGGCCCATGTTGGTAGACTGACTTTCCCAGAGCTGCCCCTTCTGACCAATCTCCTTCACCCCCTAACTAGGCCTGCCTACATCAAGCCAGAACTTGCCGGCCTTGACCACACAGACCACACAGATCAGAACAGCACCATGGACCTCGGTCACTGGGCCATCTTCCTCCACCCCATCAAGTCCCGTGAGAAGATACTCTTGCCCTGTTCGTCACTTGGCCCTCCATCAAAGCCCCTCATCATCTTAAATCCGACCCCAGTTTGCTCCACTGCCCGCGAGTTCAAACCCCATTGGCTAGCAACCTCTGCATTTGGCAAAACTGACATTCCCCACTTCAAACGTGCTGTGAGTGATTTCAAAGACATATATAACCTTTAACGCTGCTAAGGCATCAGTGTAAATCAAGACTGGAGAGACTCATGGTTCCGAGTGCGTGGTTTCCGCATCTCAGCCAAGCACGGCCTTGTTCTCTAGTCCAGTTTCCTGCGGTGGTTTAAACACACACGCATGTGGGCACGCACACTCACACAAAGGCATGCATACGTTTTCCCTGCTTGGAAAATGGGCTTGAAAAAGAAAAGCTTTTGTGCTGGTGAAAGAAATGAAGTTAAGAGCTAAGACGGCAAAGAAAGTAAAGGTTAATCAGAAAACAGAACTTGGGGATAATTACAGAATTACAGGGTGGATTTGGCGATAGAGGAAAATGAACAAATTTAAATATATAACTTAGCATTTAAATCTCTCTGATGGGAGGAAGAGAAAGTGTCTCTCGGTCAATGCCCCAGTCAGCGCCAGAACCACACACTATGAAGGAAGCGACGTGCAGGCGCGGGCCGCCCGGAGGTCTTGGGGTCCTTCCTGGTGTCACGGGTCTATTGTACTAGATGAGCCAAGGGAGAAATATGACTTTTTTGAAGTTAGTTTTGAGAAACTGTTTCCTGCCCACTGGCAAGTGGAAAAGCCGAAAATAGGCTCTTGAATGGGATTCTTACCTGGTCGTCATAGCGATACGTGAGGAACTGCTCCCCTGTTGTATCTTCCAGAAAACTTCCCTGAGGGGAGAGGGCAAACTCAGGAAGGAAGTAGGCCCCAGGTGACTTCTCGGCTGTGGTCTGAAAGGCAAGATCGCTTGGTTACAAGTAAGGCCCCAGTAAGGACCCCCTGACAGGCAGACTCCGAAAAAGCTGAGTCCAAGAGAATCCACCCCCCAGTGGCTGCAGCAGGGAAAGGCAAGGCCTCTCTCGGCAAAGGCCATGGGGAGACGCCCCAGGCATCTGGGTCAAGACGCTGTTAGGCAGTGAAAAAGAATATGAAAATGAATATATGTATCTTCAGGTATGGCTGAAGAATTGTGCTGTACACCAGAAATTGACACTACATTGTAAACTGACTATAGCTCAATTTAAAAAAGAAAAAAAGAACACATGGGCAGCCTGCAACGAGGCGGGCTGTGAAGAGGCAGAGGAGGGGCTGCTGGCCTGACCCGCTTTGCCTTGTCCACTCTGAGGCACTCGTGCGTCTCCGCTCTGGACTTTCTACTCTAATCTTCATCTTCTGAATCAAGCAGATTTACTGCGAAAATGCTGGAGCTTACCTGGCAGGCCCTCCCCTTGCAAGCAACCCTCCCGAGGCCCTGTGTTCACATGGACATAAGTTTTTGTGAAATTTGTAGGAATAAAACATTTAATCTCAGTCAGCTAAAAAAAAAAAAGAAAGATGCTGTTAGGCCCTGCTACCACACTGGGCCACCTCCAACTGGCTCACAGGGTATTTTCTCCCGACACCTGCCCCCTCCTCCCTCCCACAACCTTCCAGCAATGCAGCCATGGTGTGGCTAATCTGCTTAAGTTTTGTTGTTGCAAATCCATCATTCCTGGGATTTTCTTTCTTTCTCTTTCTTTTTCCTTCTATTTTGGTTTCTGGTGAAGGAGTGAGGAACTTCTCAGAGGTGAATTTGATGATAAGATTTACTTCTGGGTACATTTCCTAACAAGTCGGAGCATGCATAAAAATACCCTTATCTCACCAAGTGTAAAAACACACCTAAACCTCAGGGCCAAAACTTACTTATCTGCTGGGAAATGATGGATTCTGTCTTAAGATAATTCATGCAAGCTGATTACCACAATGCTTAACAAATAATCAATCATGGTGAATTACTGTTGTTTGCCTGTACTGGCTTCAGAGTTCATAGAATCACAATTTTTAAAGTCTGAAGCGACCATAGGAGTCATCTAACTCAAATTCCTTATTTTAGAAGTGAGTAAACTAAGGCTCTGAGAGTTAAGAGACTTGTCAAGCACCACAGAGCAGGAGCTGGGCTGGCACCTGTTAAGTGTCCACATGCAAAGACATGGGCAGATCTATTTACCAAAGAGTAGGGGCCAAGAGCAGCCTTGGAGCACCTTAAACCAGCTCCCTGAATACACAAGGCCTCTCCTTAGGATGCTAACCCTTCACTGACCACACATTCAACACAGATTCATTGAGCACCTACTATATGCCTGGAACTGTTCCAAGAGCTATAGACACAATGACATACAAGGAAGATAAGGCCCCTATTTTCACGGAGGTTACACTGAGTGGGAAGAGATATGTACTAAAATTAAATAGATCCAGAAACAAGAAAATTTAAGTTCTAAGTGCTATAAGGGAAATACGCAGGGAGATATGAGACATCCATCTATGTGGAAAGCTTGAGTTGGCTGTTCAATATGCAAGTCTGGAGCTCATAAGGGAGGTCTAAGGCTGAGGACAGAAATTTGGAAGTCATCATTTTCATTTCACACACACATATATTTACAGCATCATTCTGGAAAGGACCCTCCCTAGAGAAAGCGTTTTGCAGACAAGACGGCTTTGTCTGGAGCCCTCGATAATTCTAACATCTGAAAGTGAGTAGAAGAGGAGGAGTAAGCAAAAGAGACTCAAAATGACAATCAATTAGAGTCGAATTAAGGGGGGAAAAGACAAATACTGAGTCATGGAAGGATTAGGCATCAGAGTGGTCAACTGGTCAACTGTCTTGAATGCTGCTAAGAGACTAAGATGAGGCCAGAGACACGTCCATTGCATCTGGCAGCAAGGAGGTCATGGTTGACCTTGACAAGAGTAGTTACAGTGACGTGGCAGAGAAAACTCTCATGGGTTTGAGGAGTGAATGGAAGATGAGGAAGTAGAGACCATGATGAGAGGCTCAGAACGGGGCAATAGCTGGAGGGAAAAGATAGGAGATAGGAGATACTGGGGCATGTTCGTCTGGTTATGAGAGTCATCCAGTAGGAAGAGAGAGAATGGAGGAGACAGAAGAGAAAGACAGGTGCAAAGCCCTGGAGAAGGAAGAGGAATGGGATCCAAACTGGATGCACTTTTGTCAAGATGAGGGCCCTTGGTCTACATAAGCCTTCATCAGGCCATGCTCCCTAGCTGACTTTGAGCTCCAGCTCCCCTCCTTACCCCCTTGGACACCACCCTTCCACTAGGTCCCAGGGATGTCTGGTCCCAAGACCATCCATTTTTCCCTATCACTCTCCTCTCTGCCCCGTTCAGCTTTCTCACCTCTGCACTGGCTGCCTTTCCTGGACTCCTCTGCAGCTGCCCTGCTGATGAACAAAAGTGCTGCCACGTCTTATCCCAAAGGGTGCCTCCTGCAGCAAGCAGGACTGTACTAAGCCTCTGTAATCAGAGTATTTGCCTGTTTTGCTTCTATGCTGTTAAAAACAACTACAAACGTTTCATAAGCTCCAATGAGCTATTTTCCCCCCCTGCCTAATTCAGACTGGGCAAAATGATATATGTTTGCTCTCTATTGTATCCACTGTATTCCTGTCCCAGGCTTCTGCCTCTCCCCCAAGGCCCATTTCAGCGCCGCATTTTGGAGGAAGTTCCCCAAGGCAGAGGACTGTGTCCACATGGTACCTGCATTGTTCCCCACCGAAGACACCTGGTGCGAGGCGGTGAGAGTGAAAGGCGGGGGGCCTGCACTACCTGAGCTGTGCGGTAAAGGGCCTGCTTCCTCGGCAGCCCTGACTCTCCTGAGGGATAAGGGCTACCAGCCCCTTGGCTGGACCAGATTCTCTCCACGCCCACACCATGCCCCGAGTTACTGAAAAACTGATTTTACATTCACCTCTTTTTATCAAAATCCATACTCCTGGGTAAATTTTC